ATTTTTCCCTTACGAAAATTAGGCCTCACCGTTGTTAATTTTTGTAAGGGTTGTGTTGTTGTCTGCCCTAGCTCCTTCTAAACCTGTTATAAAATGATGTCAATATTTGTCTGCTACATTACTACTGTAACATTACATTAGATAATGATGATGTCCTTTAGCATACAGTGTTTTGAGTGATGAGTAATGCGCTGCTACTGCTAACAGAACAGGTGCTAGCAGTTTAATACTTAAGTAAACAAAGATAAAACTACAATAGCCTATTTACAGATGAAACTGACCTGCACTTGAAGTACTGAACAGGTCAGTAGTTTTCCTCTCTGCTCCACCTGGGCGCTTTCACTCCATTCTCGAGTCTCTTGCATTGATTTCTCTGATCAAAACCATTTGGCGGAAGCTAGGAGCGAGCGCGAGCAGAAGCATTGCCGGGTGTACCGACGAAACATGCTACCTATCAGATTGTGCTACCCAAAATATATTTGCATTGTTTTAAGGGTAAGTTTAGGGTAAGGGTAGATATGGACGGACGGGTAGGTTTAGGGTAGGGGTAGGTATGGCCATTAAAAAAAGGACAGCCGGCCAAATCGGTTGCCAGGCCACCGGAAATTCTCCCAGTTCTCCCGATGGCCAGTCCGCGCCTGTACCTACCAATGTCTGGTTGCAATAGACATCTCACGTTCTTCTCCCTTTTCCCTTCACATATCATATCGGTATTTATTTTCTATAAAAATAAAGGAAATATTTGAAAAGTGTAAATAAAGTGCCTCAAGGGTATTTATTCATAAAGTGTTTATTGGGTATAGCGATAGAGTTTTTGGTGTAGGGAGGGCTTTATAGAGAATGTGAATCTACGTCATGCTGCGTTGCATGCTAGGGCACCGCCGCCATTCTGGGAGGATCGCCCTCTGCTACAAATGCTGAAATTATTTTGTTTTGTTTTTGCCTTTAATTTAAATGTTCACATTCTCCATTGTATCGTTTTCAGGGAAGAGAAGCTATTTTATCGCTTTGCATGATACATAGATTTTTTCACTTAAGTTTTGCAGAATTTCGTTTACAATGTTTATTTGCTCACCGTGCACGGTGGATGCTCGCTGCTGCTTCAGCAATCATATGATAGAATATCCAAATAAGAGTATGCGTTCAACAAGCTGACAGAAGTCCATCCATTTCTTTTTTGGAAACGTTTCATTGACGAAGGTTAATTGCTGTCATTGTAAATACTGATTTTTCCATGGCCACGGAGGAGAATCTGAGATTGTGGGTCACATTCAGCGGACAGTCATGCATCGGAAAAGCCTGCAGTGTACCTGTCAACATTTGGGTACCAAAATCCGGGAGGGGGTTGGGGTGTTGGGATTATTATGTTAATTAAAAAAATTTAGTAGGGCTTATTTAGAAGGGCTTCAGGGTTGCCAGGTTTTCAACTAGCCCAATCTAGCCCTAGCCCATTTCAAGGGGGGTCCCAGGTAAAAATTGCGTTAAAAAACACGTTTTACCAGGTTCCCCTGGTAAAATTCCCATTTTAGGGGCTAAATATCACTTGTGGTCGCTTAAACCCGCGGACATAAAAAACAACCCGCTGAAACAGTGTTAGAGTAGTCCAATTCCGCGGGGGAAAACCGCAGACTTGGCAACACTGAAGGGCTTATTGAAAAATGCTAATTCATTCTCTGCCAGCAGGTGGCGCTTTTGGAACGGCAGAAATATAACCGTTTTTCTGGTAACCGCAGTAAACAAAGCTTTGAAACTTGCAGCCCTCATATTTAATCGATTAAACCATAGGCTTTTGAAGTGTAAGCTATCTCAATTCTTGCCTTTCTGTCCCCAAATTTAAGACGTTGTACCATTTAAGACTTTTTATGGTCTTAAATCTGATACAGACCTCATGAGGGATCCCTTTAGTGATGAAGTTTGAAATGGCTGGTGTGCCCTTCTGTGCCTCCGCTGTGCGATTGTGCCGTTGTGATTTAATGTGCTGTGTAACGTAATTTTTCCCACAATGTCTGATATTAAAATCAATACGACAGACTTTGCAAAAGGCGTGTGTATTGTCGATATGGCTACTGAGATACAAGATTAAATTCTTCCGTCCAGCTGTTGTTAAATTTACATGTATATCACAAAGGGGTTGACATTTGTATGATGTGTCGATTGTGTGAGAAGGATGCATTTCATAAAAGATCTGGCAACTGGACAACCTTGAAATGTCGATGTGATTATTCATATAATGAGCAGTGGGGTGGGGGGGCAGTGAAGTGGGGTATGAGTGCTTATGAACGAATGAATGAAACGCATTTGTCCGCGTTTCACTCCGTCTCGAATTGCGCTCGTGGAAAGCGCTTGAGAAACAGTGTCTCTTCCTTGGCTTGGTACGCTTTCAATTAATTGTCTCGAGCAAGACTGATTTTTAGTAAAAAGATTGAAGGCAACAATTGATTAAATGGACAAGTGCAATCATTTTTTTATGTCATCTTTTGTAATCCGAAAACATTATGTAGTCTAATATAGCTTTAGAACAGCATCGGGTTGACTAATTATTTACGTTGTGAAGGGGTAAATAAACTATAAACTATGAGTGAGATAGTGAGCAAAATAAGGGTTAGGCACAAAAGAGCACATAGTTAGGCTATTGTTGGGGCCCCATACCTGAAATTTGCTTAGGGCCCCCAAATCACTAAGTCTGCCCCTGAAGGGCACATAAGAAAAAAGCACTTCAAGAAGAAGCAGTGAAATGTGGCAAAATGTCTGATCTGTTCAGGGCTTCAAGTGCAGGTCAGTTTCATCTGTAAATACCGTAGTTTTTTCTTTGCAAGTATTGAACTGCTAGCAAATATTAGCGTTAGCACCCCTACTATCATCACTTAAAATACTATATGCTAAAAGACATGATTATTAGACAGATATTCACATTCTTTTATATAGGTAGGAAAGGAGCAGGGAGACGGGAGCTATAGTGCAAACATGAACAAATGCGAGTTATAAAAATGCAATAACATTTTATGATTTTTCTAAAAAAACATTATTTCATAATTTATTCATTATTATACTAATTTTGACGTTTTAGAAAATTATGTCTGCCAGTTTGTGAGGTTTAAAACTTTTGTCCTCTATTTCAAATAAAGGTGGAGACCTACACTCTTAAAAATAAAGGTGCTTCAAAAGGTTCTTCACAATGATGCCATAGAAGAACCATTTTTGGTTCCACAAAGAACCATTCAGTCAAAGGTTCTTTAAAGAACCATCTCTTTCTTACCTTTTTGTAATCTGAAGAACCTTTTTTCACCACAAAGAACCTTTTGTGAAACAGAAAGGTTCTTTAGGTGTTAAAGGTTCTTTATGGAACCATTTAGACAAAAAGGTTCTTCTATGGCATCGTGAAGCACCTTTATTTTTAAGAGTGTAGCACCAGTTTTTGGTGCAGTGATCACACATCAAATTCAGCCAGGGAGTGAGACAGCTAGAAGGAAAATAAGAAAAAAATCATTTGTTTTAACATTTTGGATAAAACTGATTGTTTTTCTAAATTTTGGGTATCTAAGTCATTTTAAGATTAATAAATAAGTAAATACATACATACATACATACAATCGAATTACAATAAGGTGGTTGTTTTGCACCAAGGTGGAAGTGAGGGTACTGTTATTGAAATTATATTTCAATATTCTATTAAATATTTATTATGAAAATCTTGTCAATTATTACTCCCATAATTACACTTATTTTTTCATTACATGTTGCCCCAAAAACACATTAATATGCCTATTAAAAAAAAAGTTTAATTTTTTTTAAAAATGCTCTGATCAATGTAATGACATGAAAAAGAAAACGATTTTTTTCCCCTAAAAATTCTTCCCAGGTCTCAGGAGGTTAAATAGTTTGTACAAACACTTGTTGCATGAGAAATCGTAGAAGGTCCATAACTAGGGGAGTGACTAGGGAAGTTTTGAGTTTAGCAGCCAGGGAGGTGGAGAGAGGCAGGTCCGTACGGAGTGTGGCAAATACTTACGGCATCTGCCTTGTAACTCTACACCGCTTTGTCGTTCTTAAACGAAAACTGCAGGAGCAGCATCAGGGTAAAAATTCACCACTATCTCCAGTGGGCTACTGGCCACACAGAAAGGTCTTCACATCAGAGCAAGAGGAGCAGCTAGTTGCTTATTTGACCCATGCAGCAGCAATATGTTATGGGCTGAGCCCCAAGGAGATAAAGCTGGTTAAGCTAGGATAAGTTAGGAAATAAGGATAAGATAAGAAGAATTATTGCTCTATTCGTACATTCAAGTGCCTGTTTCTGTTAAAAATGGTAGGTCAGTTTGTTTGAATGCCTAACATGAATTAATATGTGAATAGGCCTACACACACATAGATGCACACATAAATACATACATAGACTATATACATGCACACGTACGTATACATATATACACTACCAGTACCAAAAGATTTTTTATGTTTATGTTTTTAAAGAATTCTCTTCTGCTCGTCAAGCCTGCATTTATTTGATCCAAAATACAAGAAAATTGTGAAATATTTTTACTATTTAAAATAGCTGCTTTCTATTTGAATATTTTTTTAAATAGAATTTATTCCCATTATCAAATCTAAATTTTCACTTTTTACTTGTAGTGTGTATACAGTATATACACAATTAAGCAATTTTAGGATGCCTTGTGTGATGTATGTAAAAGCAATTAATCTAGTTGACATTATTATTATTTTCCCTTTTTTATGTTCCTGTTTTTCAGGTCAGAAAACTTGCATTCCAATGTGCTGTCCAGTTCCACTGCACATTCCCAGAATCCTGGTCTAAAACGCAAATGGCGGGCAAAGACTGGTTCACTGCTTTCCTCAAAAGGAACCGATCTCTTTCGATCAGAAAACCACAGGCCACCAGTGTGGCGAGAGCCACTAGTTTTAATGCTCACACTGTGGGAATTTTTTTCAACAATTTACACACTGTCTACAATATGCACAATTTTACCCCAAATGATATGGAACATGGATGAAACTGGTGTGACCACAGTGCAGGCCCCAGAGAAGATAATAGCCACAAAAGGAATACGCCAGATTGGAGCAATGACCTCTGGAGAAAGGGGTAAGCTAGTGACCGTTGCCGTGGCCATTAATGCCCTGGGGAATTCGATCCCTCCATTTTTTGTTTTTCCCCGCAAACAATTTTACTCTCACTTCATCCATGAAGGGCCACCTGCATCAGCTGGAGCAGCAAATGGGTCTGGTTGGATGCAGGCAGAGGAATTTTTGCAGTTCCTCCTCCACTTTGCCAACCATACAAAGCCCTCACTGGACTCCAAGGTACTTCTCTTACTGGACAATCACGTGTCCCACCTGTCTGTCCCAGCCATGGATTTCTGTAGGGAACGGGGCATCGTTCTACTTACTTTTCCGCCACACTGCAGTCATAAGCTCTGTCCCCTGGACAGAACAGTTTTTCGCTCTTTCAAAGGGAGGGTCAACACGCACCTGGACCACTGGATGAAAGCTCACCCTGACCAGAACGCCACAATATACGACCTCCCTGGGATTGTTGCAAAAGCGTTGCCACAGGCAGCAACGCCTGAGAACATCATGTCAGGTTTCAGGTACCTATCTATTAGAAAAAAAAATCCTTAATGTACTTCAGGATGAATAAATTATCTGTCTATCTATCTAGGTGCACTGGCATCTGGCCCTACAGCCCTGATGTGTTTGGAGAAAATGACTTTGCTCCTGCATATGCAACCGACAGACCAGAGCCAACTACATCCTCTGCAGGTTCTGCCACACTCCACCAGGGCTCCTCTGCTCTCCACCAGGGCTCCTCTGCTCTCCACCAGGGCTCCTCCGTTCTCCACCAGGGCTCCTCCGTTCTTCACCAGTCCGCTCTCCACCAGGGCTCCTCCGTTCTCCACCAGGGTCCTCCGTTCTCCACCAGGGCTCCTCCGTTCTTCACAAGTCCGCTCTCCACCAGGACTCCTCTGTTCTCCACCAGGGCTCCTCCGTTCTTCACCAGTCCGCTCTCCACCAGGGCTCCTCCGTTCTCCACCAGGGCTCCACCGCCCTCCACCAG